GATGTACAGACACACTTCAACTACCTTCAGAGCCAGAGTTAATACAGGTATACAAACAATTGAACTACATTGAGAACCAGAGTTAATACAGATGTACAGACACACTTCAACTACCTTCAGAACCAGTTAATACAGATGTACAAACACTTCAACTACCTCCAGAACCAGAGTTAATACAGATGTACAAACACTTCAACTACCTTCAGAACCAGTTAATACAGATGTACAAACACTTCAACTACCTCCAGAACCAGAGTTAATACAGATGTACAAACACTTCAACTACCTTCAGAACCAGAGTTAATACAGATGTACAAACACTTCAACTACCTTGAGAACCAGAGTTAATACAGATATAGACACACTTCAACTACCTTCAGAACCAGAGTTAATACAGATGTACAAACACTTCAACTACCTTCAGAACCAGAGGTAATACAGATGTACAGACACACTTCAACTACCTTCAGAACCAGAGTTAATACAGATATACAAACACTTCAACTACCTTCAGAACCAGAGTTAATACAGATATACAAACACTTCAACTACCTTCAGAACCAGAGTTAATACAGATGTACATACACACTTCAACTACATTATGAACCAGAGTAAACACAAATATACAGACAACTACCTTCAAGTCTTAACATCAAAACAGCTTTCCACTATTACTCTGCATTTCCACCACTTTCACATCTCCCACTTCCACAACCTTGAACTGTCTTCTGTCTTCGCTGACGCTTCATCTGCTTCTGTCAGTAACATTTAACAGGAAGTTTTAACTTGTTAACTGAACATTAGCTGACTCCATTATCCTGAACAGACACTCTGATGGTCTGTGGGGACACGCTAATGCTAGGCTAAGCGCTAACATCAACAACAACATTAGCTGCTTCCACATTAAGCTGCTAATGTTTCCGGCTAATGGAGTCTTCATTCACTGATCAATACAAGGTCAGACCTGACGGACTGAGTGCTGCCTTCAGGTGCAGAACGTTCAGTGTATATGTACTTTATATACAGTATATGTTTGTGTATATACTGTATATATGTACACAGTATATGTACATCATATGTGTATATATATCAGAATCAGAACCGTTTGGTATGTTACACACACAAGGAATTTGACATGGCGGGTGGTGCATAACATTAAACAATCAACAACAATTTGTACATTATATATGTGTATATATGTACATCATATGTGTGTATATGTACATAGTATTTACATACTTTGATGAGGACACAGACTGAACTCTTTGTTTACTTTCTGACTGGCTGTGTGAGGTCACATGACCCGCTGTGTGAGGTCACATGACCAGTGGACTCACCAAGCACTCCCTGACAGATGTCCGTCCTGGTGGCTCCGCCCACAATGAACTGGGGGTTCTCCGTCAGCTCCTGAGACAACCAATCAGAGACGAACATTACATCATTGCTGTTGTCTCTTTAATTATCAGTTATTATCACACACACACACACTCACACACATTGAATTGGTTCGTCTCTTTCTTTATTGATCCCGGTGCTACTTTATATCTCTAAACACACATCAACATGCTAACATGCTAAATCTTCCAGCTGTGGCTCCACACTTGATTTTTAGGGTTAAGCTTTCTACCAAACACTCACTGTCTTCTTCTGATACTGTCCAGTTCTGTTTGATTTATCTGTCTGAACAGAGTCTTCACTTCCTGCCACAAACAGTAAGCAGCTTCTGGTTCAGCCAATCACAGGCCTCAGATTGAGATCAATGAGACCTTTTTACAGTTTTGGGTTATTACCGTCGGTCTCTTCCACTCCACCCCTCTGGTTTTGGCGGTAAATGGTCCGAGCTCCTTGAAGCCCAGTGAGGCCGGTTCTGCGGGGAACATTGGGTCCTGGAACAGGGATCCGTTCTGCTGACAGTCCTCCTTCAGGGCCTGGAAGTCCTGGTTCAGGTAGAGTACGGCCTGCTGGACCGAGCCAAGACCACCAGCCCTCTGCCGGTCCTTCTGGATCCACCCAGACACGCCTCCAAACATCCTGACCCACCACAACATAATAGAGAAACTATTATGGGATGGACTGGTTCATTGTTCATGTTCCCATTGAGATGAATTGTAACTTTTCATCAGGCCAACGATGTATCAACAGTTAGCTAATGTTAGCTAACACATGGTAAACATTATCAGCATGCTAACATACTGATAATATTTACCATGCTAGCATGCTAACACATGGAATCAGTATGTTAGCATGCTAACACATGGTAAACATTATCAGCATGTTAGCACGTTAGCATTTGTCTCACAGATTGAAGACTTTCCATCAGATCAGAGAGAAAAATATAAACATGGAGATGTTTGTACCTGATCTCCGTCCAATGGGTTCGTAGGAAGCTGACAGGAAACAGAAGTCTGGTTAGTCCATTGGATACTGGTGACCAGTCAGAGTTACAACAACAGAGAACACCTGCACACAGGTAGCTCATACAGGTAGAGGAGAATAAGGTTTCCATGATTTATTCATATTTCATATTTCATTTGGAGGCTAATTGTTACAAGTGCTCCGTTTTTTTCATGAACTTTTCTGGTAAATTACACAAAGTAAATAATGAATTGATGACTCATAATAATAATAAACTATCTTCAGTGTAATCGACTGAACTCATCTCTGCCCAATCAATGAGGCAGACTGAGAGCAGCTGACTCAGCACTTTGAAAGCTCTGTGTTTCCTGGAGCGGCACCAAAATACCAGACTGACCAGCACCAGACCAGTACTAGTCTGGTACTGGGATCAGACTGTTGAGTTTATTAAGAAACAAATATTCACATTTAAGAAGCAGAAACAAGTCATTTTTTGGGGCTTTTTTCTTAACCTTTAAATGATGAAGTATTTATCAAACTTGTTGTGATATAATTTCACGTTTGATTAATAATCCAATGACTTTATATAGCGGGGCACTCAGGTGCCTCTGTGAGCCTGTTAACTGGTTATAAATATTGTTATATTAGAACTCTAAAGAGACTGAAATTAGACCGTTTTTATTAATTTATTTACATGGAATTCATATTTAATAATAGTATTTATGAAACATTTGATTCACTTTATTTTATAATTAACTGTCTGTCCTTATTCTCGTATTTCTTATTTAATGTTAGTTTACAGATGTTTTCTAAACAATATTCTTTTACAGTAAAAAAAACATCCTCGTGAATATTTACACATTTGACTGTAAACTGGATGTAAATAAACACAACACACAGAGGACTCCTCTGATTGGTTCACAAAGAGCATAAAACAGTTTCTGATGAATCAACCTGAAATCAATGAAAACAGCTGATCAGTGACCATGCGCTCACAGAGACCAGTACAGACCAGCACAACACACTCACCGTGTCGGTCCTCCGTCTCCACAGCAGTACAGTCCACACAGTACAAGCAGTAGCAGTATTAGTAGCTGTACTAGTAGTACTAGCTCTTGTGCAGTACTGGATGCTCTGCTGCAGGACCGAGCCCCGCCCGACGGGAGGGGCGTGGCTACACCATCATGATCAAGTTAAAGAGACCAAACACCATCATGTTAACATATTATAATGTTAACATTCTAATCTGAACAATAATATAATGAAACATTTTATTAATGTCCGGTCTGTTATAACATCTTATAACACGTAGAGGGATGACGTCATCACGGTGACGTCTTCAGCTTTCTTTTCTTTTCCTCCTGATGAGATGAGAAACAGCGCCCCCCCCCTTTGCACCAGTAGTCAGGTCAGAGACGGTACTGCACCCAGTAGTCCCGTTATTAAAAAGAATTATTAAAATATAGGATTAAACTTTGAGACGTGAACCTTCTAATCCAGGCCAATAGTTTCGATGATTAAAAATAAATATATTTTAATCATAATTATTTATATTTTATTTTTCAAAGTTCAAGAACAAAATTTGAACTCTTCAGTTTATATATTTTTTTCAAACGATCAAAGCTATTGTTATGAGTATTTGATTATTAGTGTTTTATTGTTATTTATTATGAGTGTTTAGATATTTATATTTAATTATTTACTATATTTAAAGGCTACAATGTTTTGAAGTTAATAAATAATATTCTCTTGTTCATTTATTTACGTGATGATGACGAGCTGATAGGAGGAAGAGGAAGAGACACAAGAGTCACAGAGCAAAGGATTGTGGGTAACTTTATTGACTGTATATGAAACTTTAGGAGGAACAGGAAGAGGATCTTCTGACGACTCAGATCATCGCGAAGTTTAACCACTGCAGGAGGGAGACAGAGAGAGACCGGGTCAACTGGTTTATTCTGGTTCTGGACCTGGTTCTGGTCTCTTCAGACCCTGAATGTGTTACCTGGTTGAAGTCGAGCTCGATGGAGCCGCTGTCGTGGGCGTCGAGCTTCTTAAAGATCTCTGAGGAGGAAAAAGGAGGCACACGTTAGCTCATTAGCTAGGCTACGTTAGCTAGCTAGCATATTAGGGGCATAAGATAGAATACATTTTAAAATGTAACAATTTTTTTAATGATTTACACTTTTGTGTTTTGATCAGGTTTTCGCATACAAGGTCTAAAGACTACAATACCCATGATGCCGATAACCCGGTTACTGAATTCACCCAGAACTGACCCCAGAATTTTTTCAGTGTCCTCAACACGCAACCTTTACCTTCAGTTCAGCTCACCGTGAGAGAATTTGAAAGTTTTACTGAAATGCACCCTGGGAGTCTTAGTCTAAAGTAGAGAAACACTCACTGAACATCATCTCCAGCCTCATCAGACAGCCGACGAAGTTGTCGAAGTCGATGGTCATGTCGGGGTCTGAGTAGCGAGCCACCAGCAGCTGGTAGATGGCGTTGTTGAGAGTGAAGCCTGGAGGACCACAACACACCGTCATCATGCTAACGCTAACATGGGCACATTAAGAAGCTAATGATAACGTGTTCACTGAGTCTAATCCCAATGAAATCATGACTTTATCTATGATTTACTGTTAGCTTTGGTTAGCAGCTAGCTAGGCTACCACTGATAACAATATAAACAAAGCTAAAGCTACCAGAGAAGCTAACACAACTGATACTGTTAATGAAGCTAATGATACCAACAATGCCAACGAAAATAACACTGCTAACAAAGCTAGAACTGCTAAAGCTAACACTACTAAAGAAGCTAACACAGCTAAAGAAGCTAACACAGCTAAAGAAGCTAACACTGCTAAATAAACTAACAGTTAAAATAGCTAACACTGCTAATGAAGCTAACACAGCTAAAGAAGCTAACACAGCTAGAGAAGCTAACACAGCTAAATAAGCTAACACAGCTAAATAAGCTAACACAGCTAAATAAGCTAACACAGCTAAATAAGCTAACACTGCTAAAAGAGCTAACACTGCTAAAAGAGCTAACACTGCTAAAAGAGCTAACACTGCTAAAAGAGCTAACACTGCTAAAAGAGCTAACACAGTTTAAGAAGCTAACACAGCTTAAGAAGCTAACACAGTTTAAGAAGCTAACACAGCTAACACTGCTAAAGAAGCTAACACTAAAAAAAACACAGAATACAGTCATGACATTAATTTAGAGAGGAACACAAAGAACACATCACAGGAGAGAAACAAGAAGAAGAACCTCTTCCTTAACAGGAAACCATCTCATTTAGACAGAATGAGTTCTGTGATGAAAGTATATAAGGAGGAGAAGAAGGAAAACAATCATCCACTTCCTCCTCAGTGAGTCACCAAGGGTACATCCCAAGTCTCTTAATTCTCATTTCCTCGATCCTCGCTTGAACAGGAAGTTGTTCTGCGCCGCCATATTGACAGCTCTTATTTAGCTCTGAGGAGCGAGGATCGAGAAGGGAGGAGAGACCTCTGAGGAGACATGAGTGAGGACCCACGAGAACAGACTTCCAGGAAGTGTTTTAACGGCCGACACGCCCCCTCATTGTTCATCAGTCATGTGATTGGACGCTGCAGCTGATCCGACTGACTGACTGACTTTAACACCAGAGTGAAGTCAGATCAGATTAAACTCTAGTTTATATTTGATTCGTTTTCTGATTCAACATCTGGTTTAAATAAATGTTCATTGTAGTCTGAACAACAAAAGGACCACAAACAACTTTCTACATTTATTAGAAAGATTTGTGTTTTCATGATCTGATATTTCCCTCAATAACTTTTATTATGAATACAATTAAAGTCAGAGAGAGCTGGAGAGACGAAACCCTTTTTTTTTTATATATATATATAATTTCATTCAGTCATGAGGCTGATCATCCTGTGTTTATAAACAGAACACAGGACACAGTTTGTTAACAGAGAAACACCTCTACAGTGGTGATCACTGTGTCTTTATTAGTTATTAGTTCATTCATTCATTCATTCATTCATTCATTCATTATCCAAACCGCTTATCCTGTTCAGGGTCGCGGTGCGCTGGAGCCGATCCCAGCTGACATTGGGCGAAGGTAGGGTACACCCTGGACAGGTCGCCAGTTCATCGCAGGGCACATATAGAGACAGACACAGACACGCTCACATTCACACCTACGGGCAATTTCGAGTCTCCAAATAACCTGAGCTGCATGTCTTTGGACTGTGGGAGGAAGCCGGAGAACCCGGAGGGAACCCACGCTGCAACAAGGAGAACATGCAAACTCCACACAGAAGGACCACCCGGGATCGGGGATCGAACCCGGGCCCCTCTTGCTGTGAGGTGATAGTGCTAGCCACTACACCACCGTGCAGTAGTTATTAGTATTATTAGTTATTGTTATTAAGTACAGTGATCATGTGAACAGACACTAACTTATCAAAAGTCTCTCCAGCTGTTAAAGCCGACTGACAGCTGATCAGCTGTGATCATCAGCACCGTCATCAGAAACAGACGTCGCTTCACGTGACACAACTGAGGAAAGGACGTCTCATGTCTCTTAAGACATATTTCCTCGTTCCTCTCTCCTTGCATGGTTTCCTCTATGCATCCCTGGTGGGAGGGACTAAGACGCAAGGAAAGGACGCAAGTGAGGGAAACGGGGATGCAATTAAGAGACTGGGGATGTGCCCATGATTCCCAACAGGGGAAAAAGAAAAGGTTCACCCCCCAAGACTGGCTGAGGATAAGAGTCAATACAGTGAGATTATTACTATTCTTGGTTCTATTGTTGTTATTATAGACCACATTCATCCCACTTTGGATGATTATATTGCTAAAGAAGCTAACACTGCTAACAAAGATTACACTGCTAAGAAGAAGAAGAACTGACCTGCGTCTTTGAAGGCCACTCTCATCTCTGGAGTGCTCATCGTCCCTGAATTATCAGTGTCGTTCTTCTTGTAGATGGTCTGCAGACACACACACACACACACACACACACACACACACACACACACACACACACACACACACACTGATCTTTGTCCTCAGGTGAGTTCAGGTGTTTGGATGTAAAGGTCAAAGGTCTTACCAGGTATCTCTGCACCTTCTTCCACAGAGTGGCGAACTCTCCGAGGCCGAGCTTCCCGTTCCCACTGTCCTTCTTAGCAGTTAAGAATACATCCTGGTACTTTAAGTTCCTATGACTTTAAGATCACGTCCTGCTACTTTAAGATCACGTCCTGCTACTTTAAGATCACGTCCTGCTACTTTAAGATCACGTCCTGCTACTTTAAGATCACGTCCTGCTACTTTAAGATCACATCCTGCTACTTTAAGATCACAAGACTTACAACCAGAGGAAACATCTGCAGGACAGATGTTCAGTGTTCACCCGGAGGAAACATGAACACTGAGAACTTACTTCTAATTTCAGATATTTCAGACTGAAAAATGCTACTTAAAGGAACAATATCATAATAAAACTGTATTTCTTCGTTATTGTTTGAACTTCACTTTAAACACTTCCACGAACAAACATACGTTCCTGTTTGTTAGCTCACTAGCTACTGTTAGCTAGTGAGCTAACCTTAGTTAGTAAGCTAACGTTAGCTGCTCTGCTTCTAAAGGATACGTCCATCAGGTTCACCATGACCCTGGAGGTCTCCATACTGAAGCCGTCCGTCTTTATGTCAGTTCCTGTGAAGAAGAAGAGACGGACAGGAAGTTCAACAAAGTCACAAACACACCCATCAGTCCTTTGACCCACAATGCAGGTGATGATCAGGTGATGATCAGGAGGTGATCAGGAGGTGATCAGGCGAGTATCTCGACTCACGTTTGGCGACGATCTTGTTCAGGATGGTCTTCAGCTCCACAGCAGAGATCTCCATGTCCTGAAACAGTTTGTAGAGGTACGTTGGATCAGGACCAGGACTCTCCTCTGATTGGTCCCTCACCACACAGGAAGTGATGTCATATACTTACGGCTCCGGCGAGTTTGGCGAAGAGGCCTCTGAATCCTGCGTCGACATCTTCATCTGACACGGTCTCCTGGACACAATCACCACGACAACAGTAACAACCTCAACTTTACACAGTAAAGTTCACACAGTAAAAACACAATATCTATATTCAAAATTCATAACGTCGGCTTGATTTAAGAATTCTGTTGTTGGATCAGACGGTAAAACTACAAAACTACAAATGTACTCACGTCGTCTAGCTCAGCGCTGACGGGGTCGTCACACGGTCTTTAACAGGCGTTCAAGGACCACAGGACAGACA